ATATGTTTTTCCTTTGGGTTGTTGTTTTGTTTTTAAGGCAGGGTTTTGGTATGTATCCATGGCTGGCCAGGAATTCCCAGGGAGCAGCCTGCCCCTTGACTCCTGTATACTGGGATTGAAGGTGTATGCCTCCATGCCCAGCTGGCTATAGAATTTTGTCGAATATTTTATCCTTTTTTGTTTGCTAATATGGTTCACAATGATTAGTTTTCTAATACAGAAACAGTCTTGGATTCTGGAGTAAAGTTCACTTGGTTATGGTGTATAGTTTTGTACAGTATGTCATTGTTTGCCCACGTGCCCCCACCCAACCCTCGGGAACTACGTTCTAAGATCTTTACTGGTATCTGAAACTGTGGTATGGATACTATTATACTGTGTATATAACTAACTTTCCCCTATATATAAATATTGATAATCTGTTTAACTGAACAGTAAGAGATTAGCAGAAGTTAAACAGCTTTAACAATATATTATAATAACGTTTACATGGCTTATCTCTCTCTCTCAACATACTTTATCATATTGTACTCCTGTGATGATGATTTGAGGTGGCTCACTGCCTACAAGATGAGATTAGATGAGGTGAGGTAGGGTGAATGAAGACAACTGGGCATTTTAATATAGCATTGGAATGCCACATGAGGGTTACCTGAACACAGTCCAATGCTACACAGCTACTGAGAGAGCTAACATGGTGTTAAGTAATTACTAAACAGAACAAAGGGATTCTTTGTCGGATGGGAAGGTGGCATTTATCATGCTGCTCAGAATGGTACAGAATAGTTTTTTTGTGTTTTTTCATTGAATTTGTGTGCTTTATATGAATTTGTGTATATATCGTGTGTACTTATTGGCTTATGAGTGGGAGCTATAGAAGGACTTGGCATGTTTTGCTTTATTCACTTGAAACAGTCTCTTACCGTACCTGTAACATGGTCATTTCAGCTATGCTGGCTATTGAGTTGCTGGGGCCAGACTCTCTCCACCTTCTAATGCTTGGACTACAGGCATGCATGGACATGCCAGGGTGTGTGTGCGTGTGTGTGTGTGTGTGTGTGTGTGTGTGTGTGTGTGCTTGCGTGTGTGTCAGGAGTAACATCTGGATTTTAATTTCAAGTCCTCATGCTGGCACAACAAACACTCTCACTCACTGACCAATCACCCCAGCCCCCATTTAATACTTTTACACTGCAGTTGACAGTGGGTAGAAGCTTGGAAAGAAAAGCTCCTGATAGGGAAGAATTACTATATATTGAATATTATTTTGTAATTTTTTTGCTTAAGAGTTTCCACATCTGTGCCATAGGGAATATTGGCTTGTAGTATTCTTGTTACTTACCTTGTCTTATTTTTGAAAAGAGGTGATGTTATGATTTTTCCCCCAGACATTAGAAAATTTCTCCATTTAAATCTGACAGGAAAACACTTAAATTACAAATTTAATTTAATGATGAAATTTAATTTCATCATTAGTTATAGTATTGTTAACTTCTTCTGTTGTTTAAGGCATAGTAATTTGGTTTTCAGCTCAACCAGGTAATCTAAATTAACAGATTTATATATTTCCAGTTATTCTTTTTCTTGTTATGTTATAGACCGTGTTACTGCCATTTTGATTTCCAGTATAAGAAGTTTGTGACCTCCTTTGTTTTTCTTTCTGTGTTTATTTTTTTTCTGTGTTTTGTCACTTATGCTGATTTTGCTTTCAGATAGATCGAGAACTGAATTTCATTGTTTTGCCTTTTTTCAGTTTTATCAACTTTTATTCTTTTTAAAATTGTTTTTCATTTTATGTATAAGTGTTTTGCCTGCATATCTGTGTTCACATGTGCACAGCGCTAGCAGATGCCAGAAGAGGACATTGGATCCCCCTGGGCCTGGAGTTACAGATAGTTGTGAGCCCCTGTGTGGGTGCCAGGAATCAAATATGGGTTTTTGTTTGTTTGTTTGTTTGTTTGTTTGTTTTGCAAGAACAATCAGTGTTCTTAACCACTGAACCATCAGTTTCTTTTCTTTGTTACTTCTTCCTTGTTTTGTCTGGTCCCCAACCCCCAGTCTAGCAGTTCTTGCTTAAAAATAAATAAGTAAGTAAGTAAGTAACGCATTTGTCTTTAAATCTGAAGGAGTCATTTGAGGTATATAATTGGAAGATTTTCAAAGTTCATCTTGCCAATTTCTTACTTGTTTGGGAAGTTAACTAGTGAGAAAGTGAATTTAGCAGTCACATGAGATTGTAGGGGACATTTCATACTCAAACCATGGCATTCTGCTACTGGCTCTCCATAAATTTATGGTCAAATACATACAGCTCAAAGTCTACAGTTTCAGCTTTGTCTAAAAATCCAGCCTTTTCTGAGACTCAAGGCAATCTCTTAAATGTGAGTCCCTATAAATTAAAAAGAAATCAGGTTTCAGTCTACAGTGACAGAGAATAATCACTCCTATTCCAAAGGGAGGAATGGAGACCTAACATGGAAAGACCAAGCCCAGTATCCCATGTCTGGCATCAGAACCCTTATGTGGGTCCCACTGGTCTTGAGGTGACCTCACTCTACACCTCTATTCCTTGCAGCACACATGGCCTCTTTTTTGGACCAGCTTCTCTCTGTAGACATCCTGTATTGCTGACATTTTCAGCACATTGGGGTCATCACTGAAATTTAGGCTTTACCTTAGTTTTATACAGTGGCCACACAGATTCTCCTTGCAGTGAATCTGCTCTTGCCACACATTGCTTGACCTCTTCTGAAACATTGGTGTAAGTCTTCATGACCCTTGAACCCTTGTATTTTTCATTCCTGCAAAATTGGACTCCGAGTTCTGCTGTGGCTGTAGTGGCCACATGTCTTCATAGCTTAACCCAGGCAGTAGACTTCTCCAGGCAGCCATTTTTTGAGCAGAGGTCTCTTACAGAGGTATTCTCGTTTTTCAGACATTCTGCTGTCAAATGAGTTTTTCAAACAAATGTTTAGTTTTACAATGCTGAGTCTTTTATAGATGGGATGTTGCCATTAAAACACCATGGATGTGTAGTTGTTTTCAGAAACAAGAAGAGCGTTTGCATTCCTGGAGCTAGAGTTGCAGGTGGCCATGAGCTGCCCAATAAGCAAGCTAGGAACCAAATTGTCATCTTCTTAAGGATCAGCAAACACTCTTAACCCATGAGCCAACTCTTAAGCCTGACAAAAACTATTTTTAGTGTGTCATTACAGTGTGCAGTTTCTTCTTTACTGCCCTTACTTCCTTAACATTTGCAGCAGCTTTGTCATGTCTGTCTGCTGCTTCTAACACCCTTTTCCTTATCAAATTGCACATTTTACATATTCTCTGTTTTCTGCTTAGAGTTCTTGCTATAAAGCAGGCTAAAGGCAATGAGCACCACCCAAGCAGTAACCTGAATGATAGGATATCTTGAAGTTTCCTTCTCCAAACAAATTAGTTCATTACTTTTGAATTCAGCCTCATTAAAATTCTCAGAATGTAGTCAGATTTTTTTCCCCCCAGAATGTAACATGGTTAGCTTTTGGTCTAGTTCCTATAGAATCTTTGTTTTCCTATGGAACTTCGTGAACACAATGTTTACTACCTCTATTTCTGCTGGCATCATAATTTCTGACTTCCTTGGCTCATAACAGAATGCGCTCTTGCTCCCTAGTACCTGTTTGTAAACTCTTTTACATTCCTCCTGCAAGCCAGTTCCAACAGCCTGTCTGCACTGCATGGGTTGTTACAGCAGCCGTGAGCACGTACCTGAAGGAAGTAACTTAAGGTGGCAGAACTTATTTTGATTCATAGATGGAGGGGGTAGCGTCCATCGTGTTAGGGAAGGTATGGTAGCAGAAGCATGTGGCAGCTGCTCATACAGGACCAGGCTGTAATCAAGTGCAAATTGCACGATACTTTGAAATATGAATCACTAGAGATCACTTCATTGGTTATAAGCCTCGTCTGACTGCCTTAAGCAAAACTATAACTTACTGGAAGAATGAGGTAGCTTGTGGATGAGGGTGTGGGCATTCTTGATTCTATGTCCATTTTCTTCCTAGGGAATTTAACGGCACCCCCTTGCTTAGAACCCACGAGTTTACTACAGGTGATCGTTTCTGTGGTATTTGTCAAGAGACAAGATAGGAGAGAGTAAGGCAGTTTAGATTTCCTACGCAAAATATACAGAAGCGAGGACACAGCTCACACGCTCACCTTCCCCCCCACAACCATCACCACCACTACCAACAATAGCAACAAAACATACACATGCAGTTTAGATAGAATAGTAGTTCATTAATAGCCAATCTACTCCTCAGTTTATACAAATCAATCAACAGATGTTTGATAAAACAATGTCAGCCCCCACCCACTCTAAGACAGGGTCTCCCTGTTTAGCCCTGGCTGTCCTGGAACTCACTTTGTAGATCAGGCTGGCCTTGAACTCACAGGGATCCACCTGCTGGGATTAAAGGCATGCGCCACCATTGCCTGGCTCAGTTGTCATCTTTTTTAGCTAATTGCAGTTTATTATTTAAAAAAGAATTGATCAGGTAGATGCAATGGCACAGGCTTATGATCTTAAACTTGGAAGGGAGCTGGAATAGGAGGAGTTTGAATTTAAGGCCAGCCTGGGTTATGTAGTGAGATCCTGTCTTAAAAACAAACAGATTAAATAAATAATAGTTTTTAATTTTTAAGATTAAATTTGGGAGCTGAAGAGATGACTTATAGTTAGGGGCTTTGGCTGGTCTTGCAGAAGATACAGGTTCAATTCCTGACATCACCTGGTGGCTCGCATTCTTCTGTAGTCCTAGGAGATTCAGTGCCCTCTTCTGGCCTCTGTGGGCACTGTATACATGTGATACAGAGACATATATTCAGGTAAACGTACATATAAAATAAACCTCAAAAACTTTTAAGAAGATTAAGTTGATTCTTAAAAAGAAACAATTTGCATATTAGCAGTACTAATACTTTGATACTAATGTGATCTTTATTTTTATTTGTAGACAATGCGAAGACACAGAAATGAAGTGACAGTTGAACTCCGGAAGGTAAGGGGAGTGTGCATCTCAAGAAATGAGTTAAGGTATTGTTCTGATTGGGGATGTGACGCCTCATTCCTGTGATCACAACACTGGGGAAGTAAAGGATGGAAGATTAAGGACAAGGGTTATCTATTACATAGCAAATTTAAGGTCAGGCTGGCTACATGAGACCCTGTCTCAAAAAAACTGGTACACAGAACAAGGGGTAATTTTTTTCTATGTGAAAATTGTGTATAACTTGAATTATGAAAATACTTTGGCCCACCAGTAATCCCTAAAACCACTCAGTACAGCCACACCAGGGCTGCCAAGGTGGCTCAGCATGTAGAGGCACTTTTTGTACGGTAGAAGGAGAGAACCCACTCCACAAGTTGTCTTAATTTTCACACATCCTTCATAGTACACGTTCTCACACACATACCGTATATAAACACACAGTAGTACTAATAAATAAAAATTCATATAACTAAATAGTTCATAATTCTATACAGTCAGCATCTATTTTGCTAAGGCTTCTGGGTATTTTGAGAAACACTTTGTCACTGTTAAAATTTCACAACATTTAAGGAAGCTGCTCTCTTAATCCTCTCTGGTCTGTGTATGGTAGGTGCCCTCCCTATTTCCACGTCCTACAATAGGAGAAAACTTATTTGTTGCTAACTGAATGCAGGTAGTGTCAAGATTATTTTCTTTCATTTTATTTGGAAGAGTTTAGAAAGTTACCTTGGTCTGAATAAGAATGGATCCCATAGGCTCATATTTTAATGCTTATGGGAGTGATACTAGGAAGTGTAGCCTTGTTGGAGGAAATGTGTCACTGGGAGTGGGCTTTGGGGTTTCAAGTGCCCAAGCCAGGCCCAGTGGCTCTCTTCCTGCTGCCTGCTGATCCAGATGTAGAAATCAGCTACCTCTCCAGCACCATGTCTGCCTGCACGCCTCCGTGCTTCCTGCCATGATGATAACAAATTAAACTTCTAAACTTTACGTCAGCCCCAATTAAATGTTTTCCTTTACAAGAGTTGCTGTGGTCATGCTGTCTCTCCACAATTTGACTAAGACAGTTATCTTCACCAGATTCTATTTTGATGTGAACCTATTTTATAGGAATTTAAATTGCCAACCAAGAAAGTATATTTATTTCTCTATATACTTGTGTTTTCTAAGAATATATTTGGAACTTACTTCAAATCTTGGTATCTTAAATTAGATCCTTTTTCTGGATTAACTCATTCCTAAAACTCCTTTCTCTGTTAGATTAACATTATGAAGCTTTTCAGTCTTAAAGAAAAAAAAAAGTGTCTATATGTACTGTTTACCTGACTTCTGGTTTCTGTTATGTGAACCCTTGTTTTCATTTTATCTCCTTACTCTCTTCTCTGTTAAGTCTGTATGCAGATGTTGTACAAGTGATTCTCAGACATCTATACTTCTGGTTTCTCTCATGTGGACAGTTACATAGGAATTAAATATTTTAGCTCAAGTCATTAGCTGACAAATGACAAAACTTTTAACCATGATGCTGTAATATGTCTGAGTGTAAATGTTCAAGGAATAATATTTTATAAGTTGAGAACCAACTTAAAACTTGTTACTGGTATTTCCCACTTTGATACATTATATTAAACTTATGATCTGTTTTTGATGGTTGATCAGTTAGGTAAGCTAATGTGAGACAAATTAAAGCCTTAGTGTAAGAAATCACTAAATGCCTCATTTGCCTGATCAGATTCATTGTTTGTATCAGTTAGTTGTTTCTCTTCTTAAAATGTTTCTTTTAAAAAATACTCTATATTGTAGATCAGTGAGGTGGCTCACCAGGTAAGGGCACTTGCACCAAGTTTGATAACTTGAGTTTGATCCCCAGAGCCTATCTAAATGTGGAAGGAAAGAACGAGCTCTCTCTCAGCCTGTCCTTTGATCTCCACCTGAGCACAATGGCATGTACATATACCCTCTACACACAGAGTATTACAAATTGAACTGAATGTGGTAGCCTATACCCATAATCCCAGTGCTTGTAAGGTTGAGACAGAATTGCCCTAAGTTCAAGGTTAGCCCGAGTTTGTGAAACACCTATCTCAGAAAACCTCAAAAGAATAAAACGACTGTCTTAGTGTTCTATTGTTGTAAAGAGACACCATGACCATGGGGCTTGCTTACAGTTTCAGATGTTTAGTTCACTGTCAGCGTGGCAAGAAGCATAGGCACATAGGCAGACGTGGTGCTGAAGAGTATTCTACATCCTGGTATGCAGGAAGCAGGAAGAAGAGAGAGCCACTGGGTGTGACTTGGGCTTCTGAAACCTCAAAGCCCATCCCCCCACTGACACACTTTCTCTATCAAGGCCACATCTACTATAACAAGGCTGCACCTCTTAATCCTTTCAAATGGTTCCACACCTTAAACATTCAAATATATGAGCCTATGGGGGACATTTTTATTTAAACCACTACAACAGCCTTGCCTTGAACTTTCTCTATATTTGCAAGGTATACAGGAAAAATTGTAAGATTATATTGGTTAGTTGGGCAAAGCATTTTGCAAAATCTAATGCCCATTTCTGGTTAAATGACTAAACACCTGCAAAATGAGAGGAATTATCACATTTGATGAAGAGCAACCACAAACTTCGTACTTAGTGGTGAGAAACTGAAATCTTTCCCTAAGATTTGTAGGCAAGGATCCATTCTCACTGCTGTTAATTATTATACTGTTAGAAGTTCTAATCGATGCCAGAAGAGAAGGAAGGTAAGAAGAAAAGCAAGGAAAAGATAGCTTTGTCCATGTCAAGACAGTCTGTATGGGAAAATCCTAAAATACTCACTTTTAAGGCTTCTGTGGCTGAGAAAGTAAATGCATTGGTAGTAGAGTGCTTACTAGCCTGTAAGAAGCCCCATGTTCTACCCCAGCTCCACATAAACCAGTTTTGATGCCTACCAGTGATCCTAGCTCTTTAGGGTAAGGCTGTCACAGCCATCTTCAGCTATATAGCAAGTTTAAGGGTCAGCCTGTGAATATATGAGACCCTATCTGTAACTGGTCTTTGGACTGCCAGCTCATGAATAACGACACAGAGACTTTTTTATTAAGTATGAAAGCTTGGTCTTAGATTAGACTTGTCCCAACTATCTCTTGAAACTTAACCCATTTATATTAATCTATATTCTGCCACATGGCTAGTTCCTTTTCTTCAGTACTGTGCATCTTACTTCCTCCACATCTCCCTTGTGAATCTCCACCTCTCAGATCCTGCTCCAGAATTTCTGTCTCTCCCCGAAAGTCCCACCAATCCTTTCCTGCCTAACTATTGGCCATTCAGCTCTTTATTAAACCAATCAGAAGGTACCTTAGGCCAGTGAGGTTAAACAGAAACACAACTTCACACAGTCTAATAAAAGATTATCCCAACACCTATCTCAAAAAAAAATAGATATTACAAGATCTAGACTGTAAATGAATTTGATAAGCATAACGTTTAGTTCATAAAAGTAAAAATCAGTATAAATACTAACAACATGCAGAAAGAGGATTAAAAACAGTACCATTTATAGTTACCCCAACGAAATGAAAATATAGGAGGTGGCAAGATGGCTCAGTGGTTAAGGCATTTATTGGCAAGTCTGATGACCTAAGTTTGATTTTCAGGATGCAGATGGTGGAAGGAGAGAAGCAACTCCTGTGTATTGTCCTCTGATCTCCACACCTGTATTGGTACACATACAGACAGACACACACAAATACATAATAAAAACATGTAGAAGTTCTATATACTGAAAACTATGACATGCTATTGAAAGGAAGGAAGATTTATGTAAACAGAGTTAAGTATACTATATTCAGACTGGAAACCTCAACACAGTGAAGATTCTATCCCATATTGATCTGTTGGTTTAATACATTATCTAGCAAGAATTTTTATAGACACTGGAAAGCTTATTTTAAAATGTACTCTAGGATAGCTAATACAGTCTTGGCAAAAAAGGAAAAGGAAACAGGAATTGGTTTTCTCATTGTGGAAGCTTATAGTATATAGTGAATAGTAACCAATACTTTACCACTATTAAGACAGTTCCACAGATCCATGAACAGAGGTAAACTCTGAAATAGACCCAAGTCCCCTGTAGATTTCTTGCTTATGTATGTATTTAATGGTTCTATGAATTGAACCTAGGGAGCACATGTTAAGCCTCTGCCACCAACCCATAGCCTTAGTCCCCAGCTGATTTTTGGTAACAGTACAAACCATTTCAATGGAAGATGGATACCCTTCTCATCAAGGGGCACCAAACAACTGAACACCTATATAGCACCTCAGGTTGTTGGAGTGGTGGCTCAGTGGTTAAGAGCACCAGCTGCTCTTCTAGATGATCTTGAGTCTCACCACGTGGTACATCATAGCCATCTGTAACTACAGCCCGAGAACATTAGTTGCCCTCTTCTGGCCTCTGGGAATCAGGCACATGCATGGTACATAAACATAATATGCAAGTAAAACATTTATATAAATAATAATATTTTAAAAAACAACAAAAATATACCTCAACCCAGACATCATACTATATGCAAAATTCAGACTCAGGTAATACATTTAAACATACAAGTATAAAATTTGTAGAAAAAAATAAAGGAAATGTTCATAATCTAGGGCCAGACATAGACTTATGAGTGGGTTACAAAATCATAATCTATAAAAAGACAAGCTGTGGGTGAGTCTCTGGCCTTTCCATCCACACTTCCCCAACCTAATAGATCTAGCCCATTTCCCACATCCAGTACTGGCCACCCCACTTGTTCTTGAAGCACCTTCTAGGCTTCCACTCAAACATGCCCTACCTGCTACCACCCTCAGGCCCCTTCTGCACCAAATCCAACCTTTTTACCCTGCCAGAACTTCCCTTCCTTTTCTAGGATCTAGCCAGGTGAGTTTCCCTGACCTCCACATATAGTACCTTGGTCTAGTCTAGCCTCACCTGCCTGTGCCATACTAATCTCTAGGCTTCTTCCAG